TGCTGCTTGGCCTGCTGTGTTCATCCAGCTCTACACCTTGTTATCTCAGATTCTTCAGCATCTGCAGTTCCTACTATCTCTTTATTTTTTTCTCTGTCATTTTGACTGTTACTACATTTCTACATTCACTAGCCAGATTTACCTTAGTCTGAAAGTCTGACATAGATGCACAGAATACTAAATGAAATCATGAACTGACAGAGCTGCAAAATTTGTATTAAATAGCAACAAGTGACTTACTACTCATCAATGTTGCTTGATGCTCATCAACACTGTAACTGCTATAGTGACTGGGTTAAGAAACAAAAGAAAGATTTGCATTTATACAGCACTTTTCACAAACAATGAATATCAAAAGCATTTTACAAGTGCTTTTGAAATGTGGTCTGTATTGTAATGAAGGAAACAAAGCAGCCAATGTAGAATCCTTCGTGTGTAAAGAGGCCATTCAGTCCATATCAACCCTCTGAAGAGCATCCCAGTCCCCTAACCTATTCCTATAACTCCACATTTCCCATCACTAATCCACCTAGTTTGCAAATCCCTGGACATTACAGGGCAATTGAGCATGGCCAGTCCACCTAGCCTGCACATCTTTGGACTGTGGGAGGAAACCAGAGCACCCAGAGGAAACCCACACAGACACAGGGAGAATGTGCAACTCCACACAGTCACCCAAGACTGGAATCAAACCTGGGTTCCCTGGCGCTGTGAGTCAGCAGTGATAACCACTGAGACAGTGTGCCACCCATGTGCACGAGCAAGCTCCCAAAAAGAGCCATGTGATCATTTCAACATGATGTGTGTTCTTTTGTGGCATTGATGAAGGGGATAAATATTGGCTAGGACACTGGGGATAACTCCCTGTGTCTCTCTGAGTTAGAGCCATGTGATCTCTTACATCCACCTGAGCAGGATGAGACCTTGGACAAAGAACTCAGTATGTTCAACAGGACAGTACTCCCATGACACTGCACTGGAATCTTGATCTTTGTGCTCAAGCCCTGGAATGGGACTTGTATCCAGAAATCTGGAGGCAAGAGTTCTAGCCACTGAGCCACAACACACATTCCAGGGTAAGGGCATCCCAACTTTCTATGTGATGGGAAAGCCACGTTTAAATATTTGTCCTTGCTCAAGGGGCCAATTGACAAATTTCAACTGACAAATTCCAGAACAACATTATACAAGAAATAAAAAATATATAAAAACAATTGACATTTTAATGAATATAAACGAAGCCAATTTTCAAACTTTGTATGCCTTTCCGCATAAGTGCTGGAGAGAGAGTGGGCTCCGAGCCCTGATCACCAGGGAAGAAGTAGGCAGGGACCCAGGATGAGCCAAGGCTTTGGGTTTAATGAACGCTGACCTTGCTTTTCTTCTTCTTGGTGCAAATTCCAAGATGGTCTCAGCAGAATCCAGATGAAAGCGTGCGTTGGAAGCAGGCTGCCTTTCAGCCTTTGTCTTCCTCCTGTCTCGGCTGGCTTTACGGATATATATTTTTTAGGGGTCAGAAGAGGAAGTGGTGGAAGAAGGTGTGCACAAATCTCCAGCTTAGTCTCAGGGTCACACGCTCCCTCTCACTTCCGACCTCCTTCATAGACCCATTTGGACTCACTCTTTCTCAGGACCCTTAAGACTCAGTCCTTTCCACACAGAGTCAGTCCCTCCAACTCAGGCCTGTGAGATTTGAACATCTTACCGATGTCAGGGTGGATGTGAAGGTGTGAGGACACCTCGCTGTGTGCTGTTTAATGTTCCAGCTTCAATAACAGGCTCTGTGGCTGCCAATGGACTTCCTCATGGTTTCTCCAGCTCTTGTCACCACTTTGTGCTCCTTTAAGGGGTGGTGTCTGCATGACAGGGAGGCAGAAAGAGAGAGAAGGGGAGAACATCCACTAATGGAGAGAGAATGGACCCAGTCGAAATGAAAGAGCAATCGTGCACCTTCACACTGGTCGCTGTTCTTCCAATCACGGGCCATTTCTCGTTAGTATTTACGGTTCATGGGCTAACAGTGATCAAAACAACAGCCAACATGGGAGAGAAGGAGCTTGTTATTGGATTTACAGCAAATTTCAAGCCCTTCCCATGTACCATGAATATGGTACGGTGGGCCCATGTACCATCACAGAGGGCCCATATACCATAGCGGTGGCTTCATATACCATCTCAGAGGCCCCATATATCATCAAGGAGCACCCGCATGCTATCACAGAGGGCTCATATACCGTCTCAGTGGACTCATATACTTTCTCCACAGCATAAATACCATCTCCGAGGGCCTGTATACCATCTCAGTGGGCCTGTATACAATCTCCAAGGACCCACAGACCATCTGAGAGGGTCCATATACCATCATGGTGGACTCATATACCATTTCCAAGGGCCCATTCCACCGTGGTGGGCCAGATCCTAACACGTTCATTAATGTCCTTTAGGGAAGGAAACTCTGCTCTTACCTGGTCTGGTGTACACGTGACTCCAGACCCATAGCAATGTGGTTGATTCTTAACTGTCCTCTGGGCAATTAGGCATGGGCAATAAAACCTGGCCTAGGCAGCGACACCCTCATCCCGTGAATGAATAAAAAATGTCACAGACCTTGGATACCTGTTGGAAAAAGCCTGCTTTAGAGCAAAGAACAGAAAAAATAAAAAAATGTTTATATCAATGTTCAATCAATTGTTTAAAGTCCCCTTTACATTAATCCTCAAGTGGTGAAGGACAAATCTTCAATCATAGGACAAACCACACATTTTGGTGCTGGCTAACTTCATGCCAAATTCTGCTCTAACTGCAACAGAGTTCCCCTCAATGTGGAATGAACCATGTCAGAGTTTGTACATACAGTCCTCAAATTTTCATAATTCACCTTTTTCTTTTAAATGTTTTAGGATACATGTAATAGCCAAATAACAGTGTCAATCGTGGCTTACTGAATATACGAATTAGAAACAGTCGACCATTCAGCCCATCATGCCTGCCCCACCATTCAGTAAGGTCAAGGATGACCTGTTTGTGTTCTCAATTCCATGATCCAATCTCAACCTGATTATCTTCGATTCCCCAGCTGAAGAAGTCTATTTTCCTCTGCTTTAAAAATATTCAATGACTCTGCCTCCATTGTCTTCTGAGGCAGAGAGTTTGAAAGTAACACAACCCTCTGACAGAAAGATATTCCCCTCCTCTGTTCTAAAAGGATGACTTCTAATTTTAAAACAGTGACCCCTAGTTATGGACTCACCTACAGAAGTAAGCATCCTTTCTAAATCAACCTTGTCAGGATCATTCAGGATCTTGTAAACATCTACCAAGTCCCCCCTTACTCTTCTAAATTCTAGGGGAAAAAAATCCAGTCTGTCTATTTTCCCAACACCTCAAGAAACTAATCATGAACATATGTGAATACACTAATGAAGTGCTTCAAGAACAGCTTCTTCCCCGCTGTTATCAGACTTCTGAACGGACCTCTCAAATGTCAATTCTGATATCTCTCTGTACCTTCTCTGCTGCTGTAAGACTATACTCTGCACTCTGTTCTGCTACCCTGATGAACTTTGTATGGTCCGATCTGCCTGTATAACACACAGATCAACACTTTTCGCTGTATCTTGGTACATGTGACAACAGTAAGTTGAAATCATAAGACAACCCACTAATTCCAGGCATCAATCCAGTAAATCTCTTCCGAACCATCTCCAATGGATTTAGATCCTTTGTTGAAACTTTAATGTTGAGTTTAGCTAAAATCCATGTAGTTAGCAAGTTTCAAAAGGTACAGCTTGCAAATAATTCTACATGTTGAAATCCTATTCTTTCAAAAGTTTGAACTGTGTGAGTGTATTAACCATTTCCTTGTTTCTTATTACAATGTTCCTTATCCTCCCAAGATAACTGTCAACTCTTAGTGCATTGCATAAAAAGAGCCCGGATAGATGTATTTCCTATCCTGCCTTTCCCTCAACTTCAAAGCTTTTTTTTTCAAATATTCACTCATGAGATGTGGTACATTTATTACCCATCCCTGATAGCCCAGCAAGCACTTAAGAGTTAACTACTTTGCTGTGGTTTAGAGTCATATGTATGCCAGACCAGATAAGGATGGTCCATTTCCTTCCCCAAAGGGCATCAGAGAACCAGATGGGCTTGTATGACAATCAACAGTATTTACATGATCACCAATCGACCAGCTTTTAATTCTAGATACTTACTGCATTCAAATTTCATCATCCCCGACTTGAACCCATGTTCCCAGAACATTAACCTATTGTTCTGGGCTACTAGTCCAATGATATTGCCACTACTCCACCACCTTTCATTAAATGGTGTACTAATTTGCTGCTCTCTCTTAGTAATACGTAGAATGAAATGGAAGGACACTTTTTTTTAAATGACCTAATGACTTTAATTTCTTCCCAAAGGGACTTCCAATGAAGACAATTACAAGCTGCAAAAACCACTCAGGCCTGACCAAGAATACAACCATGAAGCAGAAAAGGGATTTGAAATGCAGAGCAACTTTGGAATCCTTAAATCTTTCCCTCATAAAAGAAGCACAGAGTCCCTCCATTCCTTGAACTCCAAGCAACCAGAGGGCATGGCACAAAAGTCAAAGTGGAAGCAACAGTCCGTGTCTCCAGTGAAGAGAACTGCAGCCCAAATTAGACCCCAGCAAATCACATTTTGTGACACCGCATTTCCAAAGCCCAAGGGAAGATCCAGTTGTCACCAGACACCCATGAGCGAGCAAACGCGAAGGAAGGTTTACAGGCATAAAGGCAACTACCGTAGCCATCGCCATCACTCCAGAAGAGTTCAGAGATCATGCTCAGATGAGGCTCTTCACACGATCACCGAGAGATCTCTGGAGAGTGCGAATAACAATACTTTCTTGGAGCATTACAACCAGCTTGTACATACAGCCATATGCCAGAGGCCCCAAGCTAAGCACTCCCATAACCAACAAGCCTTTTATAGGGAAGGCAATAGTGGCCTTCAGAACATCACTTTGAATAACTTCCTTGGCCTGTGCTGTGAAGATGACGATGCCTGCTGCTCAACGTGCTCCTCCTCGTCCTCTGATTCCGAAGAGGAGGGTTATTTTCTAGGACAACCAATCCCACAACCCAAAACGAGCAGTGCTTGCCGTTTGCGGCAGGAGCCTTGTCAATCGAAAGCTGCGCCTGACATCATGACGGCACAGAGCGCCAAATCTCACAGGAAGAGAGAGCACAAGAACAAAAACTGCACCGTTTCCTAGGCAGCCTCTTCAACATCATCCCAAATGAGTATTTACACCTGGCACTGAATTAGATATTCCAGAATCAAAGATGGATTTTAACAGATTGTTTTTCCTGGTGACTTACAAAAGCCTTGCTTTGATGACAGTTTCTCCCCCATGTACGCTGGGTGCAGTTCCATTGCTGGACTAGTTTCTCATTGCCAATAGTTGTGCTCTGGTACCATGCTTAGCCGGTCAGTGTGTAAGTCTGGGCAATAACTTGAGCACACTGCTCTGTCACCAGGAGATCATGAGAGTAACACATATACAGTGCAGCACTAAACACAAAGCACAGAAATGGAATTTTGGCTGATTCACTGCACCCTGGTCCTAGTCAGCCAGCAATAGTGATATTATTGTACTACCATCCCAACTGGGAACAGCTAAATCAGTGCAGCAGGAATTGAATATGGGACTTCCTGCTCTGTACGCTAATTTTACCAACCGCACCATTGGTTCTTCAATCCCATTAATCAACTCTCTGATTTAATTACCAAGTCATTTTCAATCGCTTGTACAGGTCAGTATCCTCCATCTACATCCACCCCATTAAAACTCAGTTAAGGTCACAATCCCTATGTAATCAGCCTTACTGTTATTCTTCGAGCAAAGACACCAGGGTCATTTGTGATGCCCGCAACAGTCCAGTAGCTTGCCAGCATTGCCTGCCAAGGTGATGTACCAGAGTGTTAATGTATTACTTGAAGCAAAACCCTGCAGATGCTGGAAATCTGAAATGCCAAGAAACAGATGGGGAAAGATGATAAAGTTAAAACTTCACATCAATGAAAGGCCACCGAACTCTCTTCATCAATGCCAAGTGTATTCAGGAGTTTCTGTTCATCGATTCTGATTTTATCCAAATGATACCTTTCTCCAGGTTAACTAGTCATTCCAGAAGCTGCAACATTTAAAACACTCAAAGCTGGTTTAAATTTGTGAGCCCAACTCCCCAGTGGGCATGGAGGCCTGCTCCTGCCAAATCATTGGAGGGATGGAGTGTAGTGTGTGCAGCCTCTGAGCCATTTGCCCATTTCATCCCTAATCAATTTGACTAACAAACCATCACTACTGGATCTGCAACGACCCTAAAGATGACATTGCTGAAAATTGTGTAAATAAAAATATCATACTTTACAGATTTACTTATAAAAATCATTTTATATACATGTTCTAAACAGCATATGCATATTTAATGACTGTGGATGTTATTTATGCTCATTAGCTGCACGTATAAGCTGAACAGAAAATGTTTTAATATTTCAAGCGTCACATACTTATTTACAGAAGAAACTGTAAGAATTTGTTGTAACCTGATGTCAGAATGACAATAAAATGGTCGCAAAAAGATTGCTGCAAAGGGGCCAGGTTACTTTGGGCTCTGATCCAACTTATTTTCTTTTGTCTTCACTAAACTCTGCCTGAGTAGTCAGGTTTCTGCAGCAATCCTGAGAGGGGTACAAAAGGCTGAGAAGGAAAACTTGCCCCATTCATGGTACCCCAGGGGCAGTTGTGGGGTCACACACCAAATGAGATCAAGATGGGTGTCTTCAGGAAGTGGGAGAACAACTCATTTGGAGGAGAAGTGGTAACAAGGTGGGGGTAAGGTAGAAAGACAAATGAAATAATGACAACACATTGCTCAGAGATCGCGGCGTTAAACTGAAGCATAAATCAGTATAGGCGGGTCGGATGAAATTTCCGTCTCATTGTGGTGCCAATTCTGCGCATTTTTGGGCCAGTTGAGAACAATTAGAGTCTCCACAGTTTTGCATCGCAGTTATTATTGTGGAAAATATTTTCCAAAGAAAAACGCTCTCTGTGTGGTTGGAGTCGGGAAGACATTCATTTGTGATTGCTGAATAACGAATTATAAGCCAAAGGGAGAGCCAAACAGATGGTCTGTGGTCCACTGGAACAAAAGCAGGGGGAAAAAAGTTGGATGGGGGTGAGGTAGAAGGGGGAAGAACGTAGGTCAATAGCTTGATGAGAATTCAACAGGCACATATTTTTCAAAAACATAGCTTTATTCTTTTGCAACAACAATAATAGCGGCAAAGTGTTTAAAACCTTTCTTTCTGCCCAATGACTCACTGGAAAATGGAAACATTTCAAACTAAACATGGGCAGGAATCATTTTTTGAACTTTGGTCTACATTCATCCAAGGATCGCAGGCAATCTGTCCCGTCATTTGGATCCTATGTGCCAGTTTTGTTTGCAAACTTTTTTTTTAAATGTACAAACTGAACGACAGAAGTGTTGCCTTTTATAAAAGAAAGACAACTGAGGCATCGATCATCACAATATCTATTTCTTTTCATCATAATGCACTCAAATTGACAGCCAAGGAGATCTACCTCCTGCCTCTGCTATGATTTGCCATTTACAGGTTTCCAACCGCCTAGTTAAATGGTTGCATTTAAAACGTACAAAATGTCTCGCCAGCGTAATTAATTTACATAATGAATTCCTGAGTCATATAGAACAAGATGCTCGCAGCTTTGAGCCCTGGTGGCTGTGAAGTCGCTTTGTAGGTGGGACAGGAACGAACGGGCTGCACCCACGCTGGGATCAGCAAGAAAAAGGTTCTAGGGCGGGCATGGGCGCAGCTTCCCCCAGACGGTCATTCACAAATTGCCCCGTAAACGAGGAGGCTCATGCGTGGCACCTCCCCCCACCCCCCGACCCCGACCACCGCAAAAACATTCTAAACGAGCCTGTGTTGAAATTAACTGGCCACGCATGACAGCAAAAAGAAATTAGCAAGAGAAAACCGTCTGCAGATTTTACTTGTTGGGAATTTGTGGCGATGTTGGGCGAGGGCAGAATCAGGCTCTATTATGATGACCTCTAAGGAGGAATAGCCACACGGCCTTCAGGAGGAGGGGGATGGGGTATGGAATACTAGAGGGCAACGGAATTGTCAAACTGTAGATCCAATGGGAGGAGAAATTCAATGGTGTAATACAGACTTACACTAACCTGTCAATTGCATGCATCTCCCCCTGTGGCTCAGAGTACCCGCAGTCAGTAACCCCCGCCCTTCTGAGAAATAGCCCCTTGCCACTGGAGGTGTTATATGACCAAATCTCTCTTCCCTCCATCACCCAAAACTTCAGGATGAAAAGGAAGAAAAATACATTTTGGCAGCGGAAAGTGCCCGGAGAAATCCAGCGAAAGTACAAAGTGCCCAAGTCAAAATGTGGCTTTAAAGGAACAAACTCAGTTTGAATTCTTCGCTGCATTTGCAGCATCGTACTTTGCAATACTTTTCTTCAGTTCTCCCAGACAGCGTTCGCCAATCAGCTGCAGACTCTTCCTGAGTGCTAATTGGACCTGCTTCTCGATTGTAGGATCTTGGTTGACCAGTTGTTTTGCCACCATGGCAAAGGCCTCACAGTCCGATCTGTATGTCTACAGCAAAAAAGAACACAAAGTCAAGCAATGAGCAGGTCCAGAATCCTGTGTTAATACTGGTTATGCTGCATTATTACAAAAAACTGCTTGCTGGGTTCTCTGATCTCAGCAGGGCGAATAATAGGAAGGTGACAACATGAACACTGTGAGGTGCTGGTAATGTCACTGGGCCTGTCGTCCAGTGACCCACTCAGTTCTCTGGAATAATGTGTCCTCATTCCACCTTCACAGGTAGTAGCACTCAGATTGAAAGCTAGTCTCAATAAAGGTGACCAATTAAACCATCATCAACTGTCCTAAAAACCCATCTGGTTTACTAATGTCCTTCAGAGAAGGAAATATCCTGCCTTTACTCCGTCTGGCCTATACTCCAGACCCATAACGATATGGTTGACGCATAACTGCTCGCTGAAATGGCCCAATAAACCAATTGGTTCAACAGTGGGCAACAAATTCTGGCCTTGCCTGAGACAGCCATATCCCACCAAAGGATAAAGAGAAACTGACCACAGAGGTCCCTGAGGGAGGCAATGGTACGTATCGCTCCTGATTACAGCCCACTGCAGGAGAAGCGAACATATTTGGTCAACAACAGCAAATTCTAAATTTGTAACATTGAAAATAGAGTCCTAACTATTTCTTAGTCTCTGATGTTCCAAATGGATTTTGCAAACACAGTATAGTGTGATCTGAAATTTCCTGATTGGGATTTCCTAAGAGGGTGGGATACATCAGATCTGTGGAGAGCGAACCAGTTGAAAGCAAACAGGTCATTTTGTTGATTCACTTCCAGCCACAACACCAGCATTATTTCAGCCAGTAAATCTCAATGTGAGATGAGCAATAATGAAGTCATTGCAAATGAACCATCTCGAGGTCTACATGACATTCCATGGCATAGAATAGTGAATATGGACCACCACTTTAACTTAAACACAGGGAATGGACTTGTTTTCACACTGGAAAAGGTAAGCCTTGGAGCAATGCCAGGAAATTTCTAACAAACAGGCTGCTAAGGAGGGTGGAATAGTGAGATCCGGGAGGGATTTCAGCTGGTCGCTGAGATGTTCAGCCACAATGTTTTCTAGATGGATAAAGGTATCCTCGGTACAAGAATCAAAAGTGCTGGAAAAGTTCAGCATCTGAGGACAAAAACAAATTTAGCGTTTCGCATCAATAAGAACAGTTTCAATGCAAGGTCACTGAACTGGGACGTTTAACTCAGATTCTCCCACAGATGTTGCTTTGCCTGCTGTGTTTTTCCAGCGTATTTTCTGTCCTTATTTCAGGTTTCCAGCATCTGTAGAATTTTGGCTTTGAACCATTCTTTGAGTTCAGTGGAAACTGCTAGTGTAGTTCGGTATTATACAATGTAACAATAAGTCCAGTGTCTCTCGTCCTTCCGTGTTTTATCCTCTTGTACAATTAAGCGGGCAATCGCACAGAAACAATACAATTAGGCCTTTATAATTTATATCTGGGGGAAATTTTGTACTTGAAGTAACACTACTGTCAAACCCTCTCAGCTCTGTCACTCCACAACTAAAATGCAAATATTCCTTTTCGTCTAATCAATCCATCAATATGCCACAATTTCAGAACAGAATTCCCTACTGCATTTAATTGCCATTTGCTACAGCAGTTCTTTCATTCAATGGACCTGAATCCAGGATTGAAATGGCTCAAACCCATTTCACAAACCGTTCTTAATGACATGAGCAAAAGTCATTATTCACTTGGACTAGACACAAGCTCTGCAGCCATTTGTGAAAGGTTCGTCAGTCAGTTTAAACCCACATGTCATATGGCCACTCATCAAAAGTGAGGCAAGAGTGAGTGAAACATGGTTTTTAACCACAGACATGACAAACAAATCTTTCTTGGTGCCCACACACACACTGACCTTGTACCCCATATTATCTCACCACCTATAAAGCACAAGTCAGGAGTGTGGTGGAATAGTTTCCAATTGACTGGATGAATTCAGGTCCAACAACACACAAGGACATGACCCAGGACAAAGCAGTTCGCCTGACCAGCCGTCCCATTTATCACCTTCAATGTTCATGCCCTCCCCCATGGGCACACAGTGGCAGCATCACGTCCCATCTCCAAGATGCACTGCCGCGACTTGCCAAGGCTCCTCTCACAGCACCGTCCAAACCCACACACCCAGAAGACCAAAGGCAGCAGGTGCATGGGAACATCATCAGCCATATGTTCTCCTCCAAGCGACATGTTTTTCAACCTTGAAACAGATCATCATTTAATGATTGGGCAATATTGAATGGGCAATAATGAAGTCATTGCAAATGAACCATCTCAAGGTCTACATGACATTCCATGGCATAGAATAGTGAATATGGACCACCACTTTAACTTGAACACAGGGAATGGGCTTGTTTTCACACTGGAAAAGGTAAGCCTTGGAGCAATGCCAGGAAATTTCTAACAAACAGGCTGCTAAGGAGGGTGGAATAGTGAGGTCCGGGAGGGATATCAGCTGGTCGCTGTGATGTTCAGCCACAAGGTTTACTAGATGGATGAAGGATTCCTTGGTACAAGAATCAAAAGTGCTAGAAAAGTTCAGCAAGTGCCTGTTCAGCATCTGAGGACAGAAACAAATTTAGAGTTTCGCATCAATAAGATTTATTTTGCTCCACTGTCACGAGGACAAGAAAACCAAGAACTCTGTTCCTAACCGCGCGGTGGGCGTACCTAACTCAATCAAATTGCAGCCATGTTCAAGAAGCCACAGATCCTGTGAATTAATTTTAAAAAAGGTCATTTATTCTCTCTGGGCAGGTGATTTCTTAGTGATCACATCTCCATTGTTCCACTAACTCAAGCTCATTTCCAAGTGACACTGGTCTATAATGGGTTTGGGAGGCTAATAGGGAGCAAAACAGAATAGAAGATTATATATACATACCTTCATCAATTTGTCCCTTTTTGCCAAAATTAAAGCAGACCGAGGGTCTTTATGGGTCTCGTTCTTTGGTCGGTCCTTTTCTGTCATGGTATCTGATCTGGAGACGTCCTTAATAGCCTGCAAATTTAAAGATATTACATTTGATTAGCCCATATTCTCGTAAAGTGCAATAAGGGGAAACAATCTGCCAGACTGATATGAGACATTGGTGTAGCAGATGGAGAATCAGTGGAGGAAGCTACACTGTGGTTATTATTATTAAATCCACATGAAGTCAACTGGCCATAAGCACATCTACTTTTGTGTGGAGAGAAGCAGAGAGAGCACAAGGGCACATGGGAGAGAGAGAAGGAGAAAAAAAAGTGGGATCTAATATCTAGCAGCATGAGGCAATGTGGTTCTGTTTCTCCAGCGAGCACTCGAGAATATCTGAATCCAGTACTCGCAACAATACATCACGCACTGCACACAGTCCTGTGGTCTGCTACTCTCCCTTGACATTCAAAGGTACGATTCATTTAGTTCATGCCCGAAGGATAAAACAACGCTGGGTATTGAGCCCAAAATGGGCTCACAGCACAGACCCAGGCTGGCTGACAATCTCTACACAATCTGGTGCTTTCAGTGTGGGTTGCATGTTGCAAAAGCAAGGTCCGAGCCAGCTATCACCGTGGGGCTAACTATCAGAGTGCAGCCTCGCTGAACTGAAGCACAAATCAGAAATCCAAGCCGAAACACCGCGGTCCCAATTCACTGGCCAATGCTCCTTGGTTGACCTTGACTTTACTCTCAAAGGATAACCCTCCATTGAAATCCGGGAAATCCTTTCCAACCGCACTGTGGGAGTACCTACAACACACGGACTCAGCTGTTCAAGGAGACGGCTTGCCACCACAAAGAGAAATGGGTAATTAATGCTGGCCTAGCCAGCAACACCTATACACCACAGATTAATTTTAAAAATCATTTATTCCTCGCACTTGGAGAATGTACCAAATGGCTGTGGAGCTCACTGTGTATCTTTGAAGGAGAGAGAAGATCAGGAGAGAGAATAGAAGAAGAGAAACTGTTCTGATATGGCAATATTCATAATCTAGTTTGTATAATTCCAAGAAATAACAATTCACTTACACAATGCAAAATCCTTTTTGAATGACCTACCTTACTAACTTTGCAGCCAGTTGCTGAGGCACTGTGAGATTTAAGATCTCTACTAGGATGCCGACTGCCTTCTTTGTTATGTCCACCATTCTTATAAGAATGTTTTTTCTGGAGGTGGTGCTTAGGGGGAAGAGGGCGGAAGGGAAGAGAACAAAATAGCATCAGACTCCATTCCCAAACAAACATGGCTCACAAAGAGTGGATTGGCCACCCGTCCATCCAAATTTTCACTTTTGTTGAAAATTGTGAGAATCAGGCCACGCTCGCCTCTGTTGCTCAGCTTCACTCCCCCTCTCCCAAGTGGTCACAGCCATGTGTGAACAAGTGAACAAGTCTCATCAAAGTCTGGTCCCACTCTCACAAGATCTAAACAGGTGGAATTTTCTGTCAGGGCTCACAGCAGAGTAACTAAAAGGGAAAGTTACGATGGACTTACCAGACAATGGGGCTGTTCATTCATCAGAGACAGAAGACTGGTGGTATTTTAACCTGAGGGTCACCACGTCTCAGGCAAGGGGAGAGGTTAAGAAGGAGAGTCCTTCATGGTAACTGGTGCGGGAATCGAACCCATGTTGTTGGCATCATTCTATAAAGCTCTCAAGCCAGCTGAGTTAACTGACCACCCCGTAACTAGGACCACTGCATAGCAACCAGGTGAGGAAAACACTCCTCAGGCTTCTTCACCAAAATGTTCGGCATCCTTTAGCATCGTATGTCCCAGAGAGCTGTGGATGCTCAGTTGTTGACCATATTCTGGTTGGACATTGGTACATACTTTGTGATGAAGAGGATCAATGGATATGAGACAATGCTGGAAGGTGTAGCCAAGGTAAAAGTACCCACTGGATCTTACTAACAGATTCAGCAGGCTATCTAGTCCAAAGGCCTACTCCAGCTCCTAATTTCTTTTTCCATTTCCCTCTGTAGCTCAGGGACATTATGTTTAACTAAAGCTTCAGACCCATCTCCACTCTGCTCCAACCACTTGGTAGACATCAGCTGAGCAGAGACTAGTTAGAAAAAAGAGCCTGCATTTGTGTAACTACTTCTAAAACCACAAAGCATTTAACAGCATTTTTTTAAAAGCTACTGTCACAAGGTAGCAAATGCGGCAGTCAATTTGTACACAGCAAGCTCCCACAAACAGCAATGTGATAGTGACTGCATTGTGCACAGTTTTGGTCGCCCCATCACAGGAAGGATATGGAGACTTTGGAGACAGCAAAGAAAAAGTTTACCACGATGTTGCCTAATTGGACGGTATTAGCTATGAGTAGAGATTGGACAAACCTGGCTTGTTTTTACTTGAATGTCAAAGGATGAGGGGGTAAAATTAAGAGGCATAGATAGTCGGAGATTTTGTTTTGCCAGGGTAGAAATGTTAATCAGTAGGGGACATAGGTTTAAGGTCAAAAGGGGTAAGTTTAATGGAAATGTGACAAGCAAGTTTTTTACACAGAGGATGGTAAGTGCCAGGAATCCGCTGCCGGAGGAGGTGTTGGAGGCAGATACAATAGCAACATTTAAGAGGCATCTTGACAGATATAGGAATTGGCAGGGAATAAGGGGATATGGACACATAGAAGCCAAAGGTTTTTAGCTTAGAAAGGCATAATGTGTCAGCACAGTCTTGGTGTTCCTATGCTGTACTGTTCTTTGACTGTTGATGAAGAGATAAACATTGGCCTGTCCTGCTCTCTCACGACACCAGAGAGAACTCTGAAGCCCTGATTCAAAGGGGTACCCAAGAAAATGTGTATGTGTATCCAATGGCCCAGGCAGGGCCATGATTCAGAGCCTCATTCAAAGCACAGTACCTCAAAGTGGACCATACTTGAGGTATCATTGCTACAATTTGTGCTCAAGTCTCTGGAGTAGGATTCAAATCCATAACCTTCTGATTCCAAGGCAAAGTGCATCGAAATTGGGGCACTCCTGAGATCTGTGGCTCAATAACAGATGACTGATTTTGCTTATCCCTCAGGTTTCCAGGAAGTGTTTGTATCTTTACTTTAAAGTTACTTGTACTTTAGATAGTGGCTTTTAAAATTCTCAACGATAAATTTTACTAATAAGATTTCACTATTAATAGAACCCAACAATGGAAACTGGCCCATATAAAGTGAAAATTTAACTCAAGCCATTAAAGATTTCTCAGATTTGTTCTCTCGACTACCCGTCCCTGCCGCTCTTTGTAATCTCAAGGAACAGTTTTCCTTGGAATGGTAGAAGTGTAGATCTATAGTGGAATAAACAGCCAGAGAAAGTGATAGATGCAGGTGCAGTTACAACATTTAAAAGACATGTGGACGGGTACATGAATATGAAAGGTTTGGAAGGATATGGGCCAAATTCAGGCAAGTGGGACTATTTTAGTTTGGGAAACTGGTTGGGGTGGATGGGTTGGACCAAAGCATCTGCTTCCGTGCTGTGTGACTCTATATAAAGTGAATAAGTGTGAAAGGATACAAGTTCCTTAAGTTTTTGTCACTAATGTCATTTCACTAATGCAGTAATTCACTTTAATGAAATATCTAAAACAACGGAAACTGTGCAGAGAATGCTAAAACTGCAAAGCAATGGAAAAGTTGACCATGAAGCAGGACAGCACAACTTGAGTATTTTATAAACATCAGCAGAAAGCACGTATCAAATTACAACCATTCAACTCCCTTCACAACACACCTTGTAGCACATGGAGGATTGAGTAGAACTTTGACGTGAAAATAAAGAGGCAGCCTCACACTCCAGCTCTGGGAGGCAACTATCCAGGACAAAGGGACCCAAAGGAACTGCACCTTTCCCAACTTCAGGATATTGCAAAGAGCTTTTGATGGGTAGGTATGGGTGGAATGGGGGAAACATATCTGCCAACTTTGTGTGCAGCATGATCCCACAAACGTCAATGACTCCAGCATCTGCTTTCCCTTCCAAGGTTGAGGGATAAATATTGATCGAATATGTTTGGAAAACTGATCTACACTTCTTTGAACAGTGCTGTGGGACTGTTCACAGCCTTCAGAGAGAACCTCAGCTTAGCATCTCATACAAAAGTTGGCACCTCCCTCAGTTCAGCATCCCCTCGGTAATGCACTGTCAGCATCGATTTCTTTGCATTCAACCCTCAGCCTTGCCGCTGAAAGACAAGAATGCTAACAACTGGAAAGCTTACCACACTCACGTTTGGAGTGAACGGATTGTTTGATAAGGAAAGGTTGGGCAAGTTAGGCTTGTATTGACTGGAATTTAGAAGAGTAGGAAGTGGCTAGCTTGAAACAAAACAGATCTTGAGGTCTCATCAGGATGGATGTGGAAATGACATCTCCTCTTGTGGGAGAATGTAGTACCAGGGGGGCTCACTGTTTAAAACAAGGTGCTGCCCACTTAAGACAGAGGGGGAGAATTTGTTTCTTTGAGGGAGCTGTACATCTTTGGAATTCCCTTCCTCAAAAGGAGATGGAGGGAGTATTTGAATGTTTTTAAGGCAGAGGTAGATGGATTCTTGATAATCAAGGAGATAAGAAGTTATCAGGTTATCAGATCAATCACGAACCCATTGAATGGTGCAGCAGGCTCAAAAGACCAAGTGACCTACTCCTGCTCTTAATTCGTAAGTTTGCAACCAGGATTTGACACATTTCCTTCAGCCAATCAAAGGGGGAAAGGCCTGAAAATGAGAATGAGGCCAATCAGAGAAATTGTCAGGAGGCACTTCTGCAAAGAGTAGTGGAAATCTGAAACATTGGCCAAAAAGCTGCTACAGGTAGGTCAATTCAAAAGTTCAAAACTGTAGTCGATATATTTTGGTTTGGCTTTTGTTGCAGAACTGAGGTTGGTAGATGCTATAAGATACAAACCAGCCATGATGTAAATGAATGGCAGAAACAGGCTTGAGGAGCTGAATGGCCTACTCTTGTACCTAGGCCTTATTTCTCAAGATCTGAAAAATCAAGGTCTTGATAAGGCATCTTATAAACTTTTCAGCAGTGATTTCTTTTCCCTTTTAAGTAAAGGGTGGATTGCTCCGATAAATATTTATAGAGTTACATCATAGGTCTCAGTACAGACCTGTGCCAAAACCTTTATGATCCAGGGTGTGTTTGAAGTGCAAACTTTCTGAACTCACATCACACACCAGCAGACCTGATTTAAGACTCACTTTGGCTCCAGGTGTCCCTGAACCAAAACCCCAGAGAGATGGAACGTACCTTTAAACCCAAATGTTTCTTTTAACTTCCCAGCCTAATTTCTAATACACATTTCAAACTAAACAGTTGGTACACATGTGATACAAACACACAACAGTGACAGGGATGAGAATCCACAAAAATTAACACTTTAGCAAGTGGTCCTCCCCACTTTGAAAGTAATAAATATATCTCCCACTGCCCCCCAGTTGACGACAAAGGAATTCCAGGCATTTGGAGTGTCCATTAGGTTCCTGTCTGCCCAGCCCAAGTACTACCCGTGCTCTGGGGTTGACATTTCACAATCTATGTATGCGTCAGGTTTCTGTCCTTTCTGATGTGTTGGATCCTTATCTCTCTCTGCACCGACCGGAAAAAAAGGAACCCTCTGCAAGGATAGCAGTTTTCCCTTTATAACTGGCAGCCTTTCAAAAGTTGGGCCTGGAGAGGAGGTGTGACAAGATTCAGAGGGGCTGTACTGTCCTTGGAATGAGACCCTGATCGTGGGCCAAAACTGAGCAAGGCACGTCCCACACAGAAATGTCTGAAAACCACCATCCCATATAGCTCTAACCCGGCTCCCCAGGCAGCCCCAGCTACCTGCTTTACCTAACTCCCTGGGCTAACCATCCGTAAATTCCCCTCACACCACCAATCTCTCCCCCAAAGCTCCGCCTGGAGTACATCTGCCAAACATTCAATCAAAAGCACAGATAATTAGTACATTGCTTCTGATCCTTTTAATGCAAAATACAGCAAACTTTGTTTCAACCGGTATCTTAGGAACTGGCACTCTTGATAAACTGGCAGAAAATGATATACTTCAAATACTACAGGTTTACCGTATTATCATGATCTTTGCAATGTCCCAGCCGAGGGTGCAAGTGAAAAGGCTCTCTGCCAGTAAGTTTTATTTAAGACAAGGTTGCATTA